CTAGCTCTCTTCCACCCCAGTTTATTCCTTGTCCTGCAACTGCTTGAGAACTGCTCTCAGAGAAAGCCACATTAATAACGACACACACATATCTGTTTGACAGACATTCTGATAATAATAAAACATTAAAATCTCAGGCAGATTGTGAAACTAGATGGCTAGTACATCCCTCCAGTTCCCGAGCAATAGCTATTGGGGTAGCACTGAGGACAGTTGTTAGCTGAGCTCAGCTGGGTGGTGCGGGTGGTGCCGGCACACGTCTTTAATCCCAGCGCTCGGGAGGCAGAGGCAAGTGCAACTCTGTGAGCTTGAAGCCTGCCTGGTCTACAAAGTGAGTTCCAGGACAGTCAGGACTGTCTGAACAGAAAAACCCTGTCTCAAAAAACAAAAACAGAAAGAAAGAGTGCAAGAGAGAAAGAAGGGCTACCTGGGAGTCCCCAGTCAATGGCAGAGGGACTCTAAAGCCTGTGATCTTCACTCCACAGGAAAAGAGTTCAAAGGCAGCGTTATGATGTCTCTTGCCTTATTTCAGTTTATTAAATACATTTATGAGGATCTTAAGTCATAAATGATTAGATGTCAGGTTAAAACTGATAAAAAGGATCCCTTTCACAGGCCACTGCATCTTCTTAGCTCTTTAAACCGTGTCTGAAATAACCATAAAAATCAGCAGTCCCCTTTTTCCCCACTTTCTACTCTGAGCAATGTCCCCACACCACAAGGTACCCAAATGTGGTATCAGGAAATGCTTTTTATACCAGCTTAGGCTTCTCATTTCTCCATAGACTAAGTCAAGCCTTTGATGCATTCTCTCTGTAGTCAAGCCCTGGTAGACAGAGAGCCATACCGTACCAGTGTTATCCAGCTCTGTTACTGCAATCTGAACTGAAACATGGACCACAAGAAACTAACCTCAGATGCATGGTGAAAGCTTTGATTCAAACCTAGTGATTCTGAGTCACCTAGTAACTCCAGGGTTCCTGAGAGACAGCTAAGTGTTTGTCATTGCTTAAGCTAAGACTTTTCACCCATTGCAAAACATTGTACAAACACGAATGTAACCCAGCTCTCTCATGGCACATGTGTGCCTTCAAATGGAATCAGTTCATGCTGTTTTAAATTGGACTCAGCAAACAACATTTTCAGGATACTTGTCACATTTCTAGATAGCGTGTGCTTGTGACTGATGCTCTCTCCACTTCAAACCAGCAGCACACAGAATTCTCCACTGAACTACTGCCTTGTGAAGAACTGTGGAAATCTATGAGTATTCTACAAAAGCCCTAGGGAATCTTTCCAAGAGAGAATCGTGTGCAATTTCTGAGGCCATCTTGATATAATTAGAGCAAAAATCAATAAGGGCAAACATTTATGGAGTTCATATTTGTGCCAGGCACATGATAGTGATAAATCATCATGTTTAACTCTCACAACAGACTTCACAAATAAGCTTGTGTTATGACTCTCACTCCGAAGATAAGGAAATATACTCTGGAGAAGACTACTAACTTGTCCATGTCAGTCTGATGGAGATACATTGCTAAGCACCCTCATTACACTTGCATGCCAAGGCATAATGTGGCAGATTCTGTTTGCTGTCCAGTAAAAGATTGCATATTAAAGAAAATAAATCAAAAGTGGATTCCACATCATCTGTTGTGAAGCATCCAGAGGGGCATGATATCAGTGGCCCTTGGACTGGGTTCTCCACCTCATTTTTAACACATCATCTTTTTCAAACACTTAATTACTTTTGTTGCTATAAAATTGAGGGTTTCCTGGGATTGGAAACATGTCAGTCTTCAGATATTGTGGCCCTGAGACTCCTGCAATGCCTTAAAATATACCTCATAAAAATCAACCTAAGAGCATGAAACATCTTCAAATAAACCACAAAAGCAAAAAGACACAAGTATGTTTCTGACTTATGATTGGGCAATATATGTATACAATGGAGTATAATTACTATTACAGGAGCACCCTGCTACTGATAGTTTATCAATGAGTATAACCAGCTTTAGATAAATACCTGCACAGCTTACATAAGAGAACCTGTCCCTTCCATAGATTACATGGCCTCAGTGGCTTCCAGGTGCCTTGGTGCAAAGCTTTATGACCACAGAACTCTTGAATTTTGCATCCTGAAAAGGCAGTATCATGAGATGAAGACAAGGCTTGCATGTTTTCCTGTCTACTCAGGGTTTGGTGGGGCCCCTTCTACAGCTGTGGTGGCTTCTGCATATACTCTGGTGGTTGAACCTGGGAAAACACATCCCTAGGCAGTTGGTGTTGAAAAACAGAAAGCCCAGGGAGGGAGGAGAACTTGAGAGATAGACAAGATGGGGGAAGGACAGAGATAGAGAGAAGGAAAGAGATATCTTGATTGAGGGAGCCCTTATGGGACTAGCAAGATACCTGGAACTAGAGAAATTTCCAGGAATCCACAAAGATGACCCCAGCTAATACCCTAAGCAATAGTGGGGAGGGTGCCCAAACTGGCCTTGCCCTGTAGTCAGATTAATGACTATCTTAAATGTCATCATAGAACCTTCATCCAGCAACTGATGGAAGCAGAAGCAGAGAGCCACAGCACTGGTTTGAACTCTCAAAGTCCAGTTGAAGAGTGAGTGGAGTGAGACTATGAGTAAAGCGGTCAAGACTATGATGGGGACACCCGCTGAAACAGTTTACCTGAGCTAATGGGTAAAAGCCTGTACAGGTAGCAAGGATAAATCCTGGTTCCACTGCCAGTGGCTCCACAGATTGCCCCAGCCACACAACTGTCACCTGCGTTCAGAGGGCCTACTTTGGTCCTTTGCTGGTTCCTTCCCTGTTCAGCCAGAGTTAGCAAGCTCTTTCTTAGCTGTGGGGGATAAAGCTGTTGATGCTTTAGGGATCAGGAGGAAGGGATGATTTTCCCTTTACCAGGTGCTAAATTTTGTGAACCCTGAGTTTACTGTTGTTCTGGAAAGTCTGATTCTGTTTTGCCTACTTAAGTCAAATCCAACTTTTTTGCAATTAATATTCTTTTGTACCTAACCCTGGCCCAGGACATTTTCTGTGAATTTGTATATTTTTCTGGATAGTTCCCTTCTAGGCTGTGATTTAGAGACTGGCCTGATACCATATTGAATGAAATTTTCACTACTATTTTCTACATATATGTAGAAGCTTTTCCAATGAGAAAAATTCAAGTTTGCTTTTTAAATGGGACTAAATTAGAGGTAATTTTGTTGTTACCCTATTAAAAGAGATGCTGAATTTATAACTATCAGATTGTAGCTCCAAACATTTTATTGTTTGAAAAGTGTTTTAAAACTCTCACAATCCAAATGATATATATTTTTCTTGTGTAGCTCTGTGCCAAAGTTCTGATCATGTAGTATAAATTTAATTTTTTTATTACTCCAAGACATCTTTCTTGTCATAATTGCTAATGTAAGCAATAATTGCTATCTGGAGAGTGGAAGTTAGTAAGAGATACAAAGAAATACAGTTATGAAATGACCTCAATAATTGTGAAAGAAGTCAGAAATATAAAATGATGGCTACATTGATGTGGTTACTCCTGAATGAACTAAGTCAGAAGTTAATTAAAGCACATTTTGACATTTTAGCCTACTGCAGCTTTACTGGGACAATGGTCCTAGGCCATGAGAATGTGACAGAGTATACCCTGACTTCTTTGGGATGACACCACTTTCTCAGTCAGAAGACTCAGCTATTGCAACATGCTCTTTTTTCTTTGTTTTTGTTTTGTTTTTAATTTCCCCTTAGAAACAATCCATTTGGGTTCATTATATGACCATTTATTAGTCTGGGGCATTATCCTTGTTTGTGACTACAATGAAGTCATTCTAGGCTGGGTCGGCTGTAAGTCACTAGGAGATCTTTCAGCTGCTCAGGGAGCAGGCAGTGCAAAGGTCACAGTAATATTTTAGGCCCCAACTCTCCCCAAGGTAATGGTGAATTTTCATGCTAGCCATCAGGAAGATTGATCAGCTTTGGTTATTCTGACAGCTTGCCATGCATTAATATCAATAGGTTGAACTTTTAAAAATGTTGTTGAGTTTAATATTGTCAGGGAGAGTTCAGACATGCTAAGTGTATGAGCTAAGCACACCTATCAGTGATCCCATGAGAAACATGCCAACTCTACAAAATCTCACCTTGTACCTGCTTCTGTTCTCACACTCTGACAAAGAAAGCCACTTCCCTATTGTGTTTGGCTTTATGTTTATGTAGATGGAGTTATACATAGTGTTATTATTTTGTGTTACTATTCTTCATGTTGTTTGTCATGTATTATATTTGTTTCTTTTGCTGTTGTGTGGTGCTCCATTCATGAAAACAACTTATTCATTTTACCTTTAACAGACATTTGGGCATTTTTCTTTCAGAGAAGGGCATGGCTATTAATATTGTGTTATGAAAATTGTCATAGTTAAAGCACACACACACACACACACACACACACACACTTCTGAATACACCATACAACTAGGACTGATGAGAAGCCAATGATAATGACACTGGGATTTGTCTCTACTGCATGTACTGGCTTTTTGGAATCCTATTCTATTTGGATGCATACCTTCCTAAGCCTGGATGGAGGGGAGAGGGCCTTGGACTTAGGACTGGAGGGGAAAGGGGAGGGGAGGAAGAACTGGAGGGAAGTGGGAGGAGGAGAGAAAGCGGAAATTTTGAATGGTATTATTTATAAAGTAATAAAAAATTATTAGAAAAAAATTTAGCAATAAACAAATGCCTTTAGTAGTCAAGATTATATTATTGATAGAGAGGCAAAAGCGGAGGACTTTTACCACTCTAAGAATGAATTTGGAATTTTACCAATGCTGTTGTACCACATTCCCTACTAGAAACAATGTGCGTCTTCTAAGACACAAATATAAGACTTCTGATCTTAATGTTTGAAATGCCTGGATATGTCTTCTCTGATGCCATTTTGCTTAGTGTTTTCTTTTTATTATTTATTCTAGGTTGTACTGGTCAGTGGACATCTGGACAGCTGGGATGTTGGGCAGGGTGCCATGGACGATGGTGGTGGAGCCTTCATATCATGGGAAGCACTCTCACTTGTTAAAGATCTTGGTAAATATTTTGAAAGTCTTTAACCAAGACGTGATGGTCTCAGTAGTGACTTGTTAACTCTCTATATAAACTCTATAATGGATTCATTTTTGTGGTGTGTTCCAAGATTCTTCTGTGGTTTATTTTTTTCTCATTTACTCCCAGGATAGAATTATTCAGAAATTTTTACTCAAGTGTACTTCAGACATCTGAAGTACCAAATATTATTGTCATTCACAGAGGAAAATGAATAAGCAAATAAAACCAGAACAAATGAAACCGCATAGTTGGATACTGTATAAGATCATGGCCAAAAGCAGAGTAAAATCAACATCTCTCCACTTCCTTATCTTCTCCTCTTAAGATAGCATCAGGCTGTGAGAATAGTGGAAAAGTCTGTCATTTTTCTATAGAAATCAGAGTGTGTTAGTGGTAAAAGAATGATTCTCATACCCATGGTAGGAATCCAGTTTGAGAAACTGGACCTGGAAATGACTGAGAAGATCAGACATTAAAAGACATGCCTAATAGCAAAAGTAGCTTCTTTTGATGACCATATATGCAAATAAAGTGTGTACATTTACTGTTGATGTTCTGGTCAAAAGGGTGCATATGGAGTGTGGTTAGACACAGCGGAATAGTCTGAATCAAAAGTTCCCTGTCTAAACCAGACAGTGGTGGTTTTAAAGTGCTTCATCAGCAGGCTGTCCTGGATGGTAGCTGTAGAATAAGTTCTGCTTTAGATGGCATGGAAGTCAAAAATTTATTGTTTATTTAAGCATGTATTGCAATAAGATTTTTCTTTGGGACACCAGCTCACAAATAATGACATGGAGATGTATTAATTATAAAATATTGGTCTTAGCTTAGGCTTGTCCCACTAGCTCTTATAACTTAAATTAACCCATATTTTTTATTAATCTACATTCTACCATGTGGCATTACCTCTCTTACATCTTGGATCTCCTGTTTCATCTCTCTGTTTCCTGGCATCTCCCATGTACCTAGATTCAGTCTTCTCTTCCTTTCTATCCCCAGAAATCCTGCTTCTACCTTCTGTCTAGCTATTGACTATTCAATTTTTTACTATACCAATTACAGCAATAGACATTCACACAGAATACAAATATCCTACAATATTTTCCCTTTTTGTCTAAATAAAATGGAAAGATTTTAACTCTAACAATTATTTTCTCCTACTTCCTCTCTCTACCTGGAAGTCCAACCTATACCTCCTGCCTAGCTATTTGTTTTTCAGCTCTTTATTAAACTAATCACAGAAATATATCTTCTCATAGTATACATATCTCTCACAACAACATATGTCTCTAAACTCATGGTTTCCTATAAATTGTATAGGGTCTTCTAGTCTTCTACATAGGTAAATTAAAAATTACTTATCTGGGATGCATCTTAGTTGGTAGAACATCTGGCTAACTAACACGCATGAAGACATTGGTTCAATCCTCAATGTAGCACAAATAATAAAAATCCAGAGACAGAAATTGAGTAAATTTCTGAAAACCAGAAAAGCAAAGCAACCAAGTGACTAGAGATATCTTACCTCTACCAAGCCTGGGCAACCACAGACTAAGATGACTAAACAGACTAAGCTTCTCCTCCGTCTTGTACTGAGATTAAAGGCATGAGTCCCGACTACTGGGATTAAAGGTGTGTGCTACCACTGCCTGACCTTTAGTGGCTTAGTTTTGCCCTTCTGATCTCTAGGCAAGCTTTATTTATTAAAACATAAATAAAAAGTCACTATACCCCAACAATTCATGAAAACGGATATGGCGGTGCATACCTGCCATTGTAGTAATCAAGAAATACTTGCAAGCAGACCAAGAATTCAAGGTCATCCTCAGGTACATAGTGAGTTCAAAGCCAACCTGAGCTACATGAGATTCCACCTCAAAAACCAAATAGTGCTGATCTTCCAAACACTAGATTGCCAAAATGGTCTTATTTTAAGCAAATCTTTGGTGCAGTATTTTTATTTTTTATCTTACTTGTGGTTTTAAATGTGGAACTGAAAAGCCATTTGTGTGATATTTTTATGTATTTTCTAACCTTAGAACTATTGACATTTTCAGATTATGGTGCGGGATTTTATAACATCACCAGACTCTACCCACTAGTTACCACTATCATTCACTACAACCCTCAAAAATTGTAACATGAAAATGTCTCTAGATATTGTCATATATCCTTGGATTGGAAGGTGAGAACAAATGCTCTGATTTAAAAGACACAGAAGTAAACAATAAAGTATCTCTAGATAACCTGGCACAGGATCCTTTGAAAAAAATAATTAAAGAAACTAATTGGAAATCTTGAATTGCACATTCTTAGCAGTCCATCATCATCGTCATTACCATGTGTGATAGAAAAGATGCACTGAGGAGCCGCCATTCTTTCAAGTCCTTTGTAGATGCCAGGCACACAGAGAGGATGAGGGTATGCTCTCTGTTTTGAGAGCCTTGATCTCCACATTTGCCTATAGGCATTGCTGTGAGCAGAGAAAGAGTTTGAATGACTAATTTTACAACTGGACCAGGTTCAAGAGAGAAAATGCTCAACAAATAAAATCCAAATGTATACCTTCAGAGAAGGACTAGATTTTATGTGGAGTCTTTCCATTCTTTGGTGATCTCTCCCTCTCAATCCAGAATAAAATGGTTGGGGGAAAATACGCAGAAATCAAACATTCATTCTTGCAGAACACAGATGTTTATTCTGGAAATTAATTTTATATCAGTGTGTTTCACCAATTTGATGGAAATGGATTGGTGAAATAAAAAAGAAACTAGTTCATCTGAATTGTGGTTTAGGTCACTGTGTTCTACAGACTGTACTTTTCTGGCCTTGGGCAGATCATCTGAACACTCTGGACTTCATTCTCTTCCTCCATATTCAATTATAGTCTTCCAGGGTATTTTATTTGCTCTAGATTGAAACAAAACTTGGGTATTCTCTACATATTGAATCTCTGTGTTCTGGTCCTCAGCATGGAACCCTAAACCACTGTTAACTGATTTCAATTCAATTTCATAGATAAATGTCAAGCAACATGCAGAGATGAATGAAATATCTATAGTACCAACACTGAAAATGTGAGTTTCAGTTTTTGTTGTTGTTGTTTGGGTGTTTTGTTTGTTGGTTTGGTTTGGTTTGGTTTGGTTTGGTTTGGTTTGGGTAGCTACTGATCTTTTAAGTTCATAGCTTAATCTCTGAAAGATTTCTAAAAATTTCGATGAACATATAACTTAAACTCCAAAATAAAGAGTAGTCTTCCTTTTGAGCGTATGTTGTGAGGCAGCATCAACATCCTGTTAAAAACACAGAACACTGATCTGGGCATGGTGGTTCACACATTTAATCCTAGCATTAGCAAGAGGCAGAGGCAAGTGGATTTCTAATTTAGAGATTATTCTGCTGTACAGACCAAGTTCCAGGACAGCCAACGCTACAAACAACAACAACAACAAACACCAAAAAAATCCTGTCTTGAAAAAAAAAAACAAACCACAGGAAACTGAAGCTAGACCACTTTTATTATTCATATCTCAAATCCCCACCTTCCTAGTATCTAACCTTAACCTTTGGTTATTTTCTTTGACTTTTTGTGCCTCAGTTTCCCCATCTAGGAAATAAAGATAAAATAGTTTCTATAGCTCATGCTTGTTTTGAAAATTAAACGTTAACCAATCTATTTACAACAGGGCCTAACACAGCCCAATTTCTCCATAAATGTTATATTTTATGACTTAATAAGCATGACTCTGAAAAACAACTTTAGTACAAGAGAAGTTGAATTTTTAACCTCTAGCCCCATTAGCGACCACTCTGCCTTCTTAATATTTTGGTTATAATAGTGCAATTCTAGAGCCAGCTGCCATAGTATCACTAGCATAATCTTTACCCTTGCCTTTTAAGCCACCATTTCCAGTATAATAGAGTCTCCTTTACACTTCCTATTATTATATGAAATTGTTGTGTCTTAGGTGTCTTCTGATCACTTCCAGTACCAATACCCTGTCAAATGAATTTTCTGTTGGTAGATTATCTACGTATTTTAACATGCAGGTCTGGATCCAGTGTGTGACTTACTAGCTCTGTGTGAGCACCAGTAATTCTAGATAAGCTTAGATGAGAATGGAGTACAATAGGAGAGCATTGCTTAGCATATTTGAAATCCCAAGTTTATCCACAGCACCACCAAAAAGAAAGGAAAAGAAGCAGTAAAACCTGAGACCTCCTTCCCCAAAATGTGTTCATAATTATATTACTTAATTACATTGAGGCTAAATTGTTTGATTGGTGAATTATGAAAGCTCTGTGGAAATCTTTTCCCAGGAAAATGACGCTCCTCTTGGATGCTCTTCCTTGGATAGCTGTCAGGCAACTTAGACATTGTAGTCCCTCAGTGCCTTGTTAATTTGAAGTGTTGGTCCAGTGGGGCTCTCTGATATTTGAGAACCTTTTTTCTAAGACTTAGCCTTCTAACGTATTCTCCTTTGTCTTCCTGCTTTACAACTCTTACAGATGCACTCTTTTGCCCAAACTACCAGCTTAAATTATATTCAATTAATCTAATAAGACATTTGTGTTTTGTAAATATAATCAATCATTTCTAAGTAACCATCGGCAGCAACTATTTGCTGTGAATTACTATTGAATCTTGTGTGTGTGTGTGTGTGTGTGTGTGTGTGTGTGTGTGTGTGTGTTGTACTGGATGTGAAGCTGTTTATTTGAGTTATCATTTCCTGGAACATTCTGGTGTCAGTGGACAAAACTTGTGACCAAAACTGCAATGCTTAACAGTGTTCATTTGCCATTCAAAAAGTAAAGTGTCTTCTACTACAAAATTCTGCCAGTTTTATCATTTTCTATGAAGTTAGAATTTGTGGATTTTGATTCTAAAGAAATGAAAGAAAAGGAAGGAAGAACATTGCCTGGTTATTGAAATGTGAGACATTTGAGAAACATATATCTAAAAATATGAAATGTGATCATCC